TGAAAATCAACATTTAGAAGATCTGACACAGCAAACAGGTGATTTTGAAGATCTTACTCAACAAACATCTGGAAAACTAGAGTTTGGACAAGACTTTCAACATTCATACCAGCCATGGAACCAAGGTGCCAGTCCTCAATATCCAGAAGATTTGACACAACAAACAGATGAATTTAATGATTTTACTCAACAGACTTCTGGAAAGCTTGAATTTGGACAACAATCAGAACATTCCCATCACCCACGCAAACCAAGTACTAGTAATCAACACTCAGACCTGACTCAGCAAACTGATGATTTTGGAGATCTTACTCAACAAACAACTGGAAATTTTGACTTTGAACAAGACTCTCAATATTCATACCAGCCATGGAACCCAAGTACTAGTAATCAACAGTCAGAAGGTCTGACCCAGCAAACAAGTAAATTTAGTGGTGGTACTATAATGAATGGTCAAATTTCAGAAAATAACGTTCAAAATACTAATAAGTTTCCTGATGTGAGTGGTGCAAATGATGTATATGGGCAGCAATATAGCCAACAACATAACCTAGAAATTCCTGAAGAGCCTCAAGTATCTAGTACACCATTTCCTAAACCAGCAGAAAAACCTAAACCAAGGTCAAGATATTCAAGAACTGGATTCGCAAGAAATGTTCAAGATGCACATAATACTAACAGTCAACAAACTTCCAATCCGGATAGTAGTGATACATATGCTGTGAACATAGATAATACTAGAAATCAAAGTAGACATGATCAAAGTACAAACGATTTCATAAATGTGGGTAGTTCCAGACATTTAAGTCAACAAGCTGCAGGTAATGTATTCAGTGTTGATGGAGGAAACATGGATCAAAGTACCTCGTTACACAAGTCCAATGATGCAACTGTAGGGTTACAGTGGCATTATACATATCACCCAAGCGATCAAAGAACATTTGTACAACAAATAGAGCAAAAGGATAAGGAGGATTTACAACAAACATCAAGCAATCTAGACTTCCATCAATCTGATCACAATTTGGATCAACGGGAAACACAAAATACATATACATTTGAAGATGCATATCAACAGTCAACTAATGGAGGTAATGAAGATTTACAATTATCTCAAAAATATCAAGGAGAATCGGAAAGCATGCAACAAAGTCACTTAGAATTTGGCCAACAGACAGTAAGTGAAACTGATAATGAACAAAAATATGTTCAAACCAGTGAGACTGAACATCACTTAGAACCAAGAATTTTGGAAGCTTATGGAGGTGGACCATATGATATATCTCATGATGATGATATATACAGGGGAGTGACAATAAATCCTAGTGCTACACTGCCACCAATTAATAGTGCTGATCCATGGGATATTCGAGAGAAGCCTAGAGTAATGGTAGGAACAGTTAATGAAGCAACACCTACACCAATGCCTGTAGAACCTTTAGATGTAAATAATATAACAACAGAAGCACCATCTTTTTGGTCAAGAGTTGGTAATCGATTAACAAATACTTTTGATAAAGCTAAAGAAAAAGCTAGATCCATCTTTGGATAAATATAACACTAACTAATGTTCATTTGTAATTGACTTTTTCTTAGTAATATAAGGCTTATTGTGTAATATGTATTTATCAGTGTCATATAACATGCTGTCATTTATTTTGATTATTTAATGATTTCGAGAAATTGACATAGTATTATGAAATGGCACTTTTTTAAAATTATTATACATTTTACATTGTTATTTGAATAAAGAAAACATATATTTTCTAAATACCATTTTCCTGTCTATTCCTTATTAAAAATCAAACATATTTTCTTATAAATATAAATAAATTTATACATACTTAAACATTAATTACAATACAATACAAATACAATTAGTGAGATTCCAGAGAATCACAATAGAGGTACTTACTTCAGGTAAACTTTTAAAGTATCTAATGAAACTTTGTTGGACTGAAGCATCTGAAATATTTTTATAGACAATTACTTATAAATAATAGTAGAGTCGAAAATTAATTACAGAATATAACCACTTTGCTAACCCATTTGAAATTGTTGATTTGGTTGTACTGCCATGATTTTATACGAGAAAATGCAATGAAAGTATAATAAAAATTGCAGAACAGTACACAATATCTTAAACCTTTTATGGAAAAGGTGTTAACATTCTTCACATTCAATTCAGTTCAGTTACGTTCAATCACGTTCAATGTTCAATGAATTCCCGCAAAAATGATGTCTTATATCGCAGAATTGGTAAATTATAGACTGCTCAAAAGATAGGTTAAGTGTACATTAATTTGATTGGTGAATTGAAACAGCCAATAGTAGCCATTCACAAACATGAGTACTACGTTTAAATAATATATTTTAATGTTATAAATAAGGCAATGAATCTTATTAATTATGCATTTATGAAAGATAAAAGATTATAAATTAAAAGAATCGATGGCGCCATCTAGCAGAATCTTTTGGAACTATTCGGAACTATTTTCGCTACAAACTTTGACGTTTTGCTTCCGATGGCGCTACCGATACCTTTTGATCAATCGTTCTTAATTTTCCATAACTGCATAATTAATGCGGTTCCTTGCATTATAACATTAAAATACAGTATTAATATGTCGCATTTATAATTGCTATGCAAAGTTGTACTTAATGTCGCAACAATTAACCTTTCTTTATTTAGTGGCGCCATCTAGTAACAACAGTGGGAACTATTTTCACTACAAGCTTGAGCATTTCGCCACCATGATGCCACCGACACTTTTGAATCAATTATTCTTTTTTTTTTACTTAAATGCATAATTAATACGATCCATTGCTTTCTAACACTACAATATAGTGTTAATATATTTCATTTAACATTCGTACGGATAGTTATTTAATTCAGTAATAATTATCGACCTTTAGTTAGTGGCGCCATTAGTATAGTTCAGTCATGGTCTCTATCAATCTCTTCTATATCGTTCACTGAAAAATGAAAATACCGTAAACAACAGTAAACAATTGCTTTAGGGCTGAATCAACCGAAACTGTTTGAAACAACAATGACATAGTGTACAACAGAGAAAATACTCTGTACAATTCTATGACGTATAACTTGTATTTTGACAATGATTATCGCACGTGGTCTCAAATGGTCAAAAAGCTGCTTTCGGCTTATTATACCCCATTATTTTCAAAGGGGTAATTTAAATTTGCTTTTTATATTTATAATATTAATTGAATATTATTGAATTTATAAAGATTTTTTTAATCTTTTCTAACAGCTCATTTATCTATGTTAAATATGAAGAAAGATCATTTGGACGAACGCATTGTTTGGCTAGATATGGAAGTATGTTCATATTAATAATTTAAACTTCCATAATAACTACCATTGTTTAATTATTTTTTTTTATATATTTTAGATGACTGGAATTGATGTAAACACAAATCATATTTTAGAAGTAGCATGCTTGATTACAAATAAAAATTTAGAAGTTGTAAGCACAGATTTAAATATAGTTATTCATCAACCAGATGAAATATTAGAAAATATGACTCAGTGGTGTATAAAAAATCACACGAAAGTAAGCATACTTTTAGATTATATTGAATAAAGTTCTTTTACTGTCTAAAATATTTCAATCTGATGAATTTTCTTCACATTTAGACAGGATTAATTGCTGAATCACGTTTAAGTAAAACTACTGTACAAGATGCTGAACAAATCATACTGGCACATTTAAAGGCACATGTAAGAGAAGGAATATGTCCACTTGCAGGGAGTTCAGTCTATATGGACCGTATGTTTTTATATAAATACATGCCAGATGTTAATAACTATTTACATTATAGACTTATAGATACTTCCACTATCAAAGAATTAATTACGTACGTATTACGCATGTAGATATTAGTTATAAATTCAAATACTTATCAGTTTTCTTAATTTCAGGAGATGGGATTTGAATATACCAAAACTAAAAAAAGATCATGCTCATAGAGCATTGTCAGATATAAAGGAAAGCATACAGGAATTAGAATATTATAAGAAACACCTATTTAATCTATAAAGATTAAATACAAATACCTTTTTAACAAACAATGATAATTGAGTATTTCATGATCATTTTGTGATCTATCTTCCCTTATCCTTATCTTTGGCTTACTTTTACAAAATAAACAGTTTTGTGTACTTGTTACTACATTACATTATAAATAATACAAAGTTAGATATCAGATATTATGTAGTAATAAAGCACAAAAAGAATAAATAAAAATAAAGTAGGTGACCGCAAAAGAATTTTGAAAATTATTAGTATGCAAAATGTAATGTTAACAGTTCCTATTACAAAATTAAGCAAATTCAAGACTTGTTTTTATTTAAAAAAAAGATATATTCAAACAATCTAACGATTGTTAATACAACTGATATTGTTAGGTTATATCAGCTGGTAAATACCTGCCTGTTACACGCATACTCGCGAAGCGACTACTATACTAACCAACTATATAAGTCTCACTCGTTTGTATTAGTTTGTGATGTAATATTGTGAGAAGTTCAACGGAAGGTTTGTGTTTATTACATGTTTAGTTTCAATGGATTATTTCGCATAACTAAAAATTTATGCAGTTATCTAAGAAGTTATTTTACTTTGTTGTACTAATTTTTAGTTTCTATACGCGTATATTTTGTTTGTCGCTATGCTTTCAATTATGCAGTTAAAAACTATAGCTATATATATATATATATATATATATATATATATATATACATATTGATAAGGCAAATTATATTTAAATGTACAGAATGTAATCTTCTTTCCTTTCACGTATTCGCGTAGGTTATACATTCTTATATACTTTATTTCAAACATATGTTAGTACCAATAATATTCATTATACTGTATAATTATTAACTTATTATACTGTTATAATTTTATATTTCATTTGCAGTTAAAACTTTGGTATCACGATGTCGTCTTCACGTACTGGTGGTGTAAGGCCAATATCTATTGCTGGTCGTGTAGGCAGGGAAAGAGAACGTTTGATTGGCATGACAGATGAGGAACGTGCATGGAGAGCACGTTATCTCAAATCTCAAATTCTTGCACCAGAAGAACCGATAGTTCCAGAGGGTTATTACAAAGAGGCTTATAATCCTATAAAAAGATTCTATAGAGCACCTCTGAATGCAGTAGAAAAAACACTAAGTGGATTAGTGGTAAGGAGATGACATTTTTCAGAGATATAGAATGTCACTAATTAATATTGTCAGAAATATGTATGACATGTAAAATTTTGTATTGATATAGGGTCCTACAGCTGCATTTGTTATACGTGGCGTAACAGGAAGACTCTTGATAGGAATCACAGGGATATATTGTGCATGGTATTACTTCAAATATAATACAGCGGTATGTCGACTTAAATGCTTAAATTTACATTAAATACTTTAAATGTAAATATCAAATATATTGTTATAAAATTAATATTTTTTTTAGAAATGGACACGTGTCTCTGGTTGGAGAATAATTAAATCGCGTCCTACTTTGTTTCTAGGAGACAAAGATTTTCCTAATTACGAAGTTAAAAAACCTCAACAGTATGCAACACGAGGCTTCGAAAACTCTCCAATATAGATATTACCAAAGTTGTATGTAGATAATTTTTAAATATAACCAATGTGATTCACTAAAATTATCATCAAAAGATTTTCATTATTTTTAATGATTTACCAAAATTTCTTAAGAGATTATTTTAGTTGGAAATTGGTCACAGTTTTATACATTCTTACTTAATTATATTTATTTGTTTATTCTAAAGATAATGCAGTTATTAGGTGTATATAATTTATTTTAGGAATCCAAATATCTCTCTTTGCCGACCAAATTGATCTTCTTCTTTCAGAGCTTTCATAAGTCCTTCGTTTAATCGCAATCCTATATTTTGCCCCATCTAGTAACATAATTATGCTGTTAGGAATAATACTCTTAACAACCAATATATAACAGCCTTATTACCTGTAACATTTTATTAAAAGTGCCAAGTTGAACGCTGCCATAACCTAATTTGACTATCGAGGAAATTTTACCATTTGGTAATACAGACATAACTATACTACTTGCACTGCATACTTCTTCTTCTAAAGTCGGATCCACTATATAGTTATCACCAATCTGTGGTAAAACATTGAGAACAGATCTATATTATGAAAACAATAACAGATACAATTATATATGTAAGAACAATTCTTAAATTCAATATAACATACCTTACACAGTGTTATAATGACTGGATAATTACTTGTATCTAATTTAATACAATCGTAAACATCATCTGATAATTGAATATCTGGTTCTCCGCCATCAAGTGTTGCAGCTGTAATTTTTGGAATTTCTGTACTATATAAAGCAGCCTTGACTGCTGCTCCTACTGCATCAAACAAATTACCACCACACTGAAGAATCTATATTATATATTAGAATTCTGTTAATAAAAAATATCTGGTCTTAAAATATTCAATTTATAATGCATAACAGGATCTCTATATTAACTTACCAGAACATCAACATAAATTTTCCAACATTTTTTGTGAGGTAAAATACATAATGTTCGTAAATCTAAAGCATTACGAGTTTGGTATGCTATTACAAGGGTGTTACTTATTTCAGTTGCTAGATCATCGCCACCTTTTCCCTCGAATGCTGGGCTTGCATTAGCAGAGCTACAACAAAATGAGAAGTGCAACTACATAGTATACACGCAGCATTATTTGTATTTAACATAAAATTATTTGACTTTGCATACCAATCAACAAAAAATTCTAATTTTCCTTCATTCGGTTTATCAGCATTAGGAATATCAAGTTCTACTTTAACGCCGACGAGTATATCGGTGTTTCCAATACGTAATCTCGCAGATCCATTTGTTTGCAGCATTAATTTGGTTTCGATTTCCAAAGAACGATATTCACATCTCATTCTACCATCATTTCTGTAATCTGCCTGGTGATTAGAAGATTAAATAATTAATTCAAAGAATTTATTTTTCTATGTAACATATCGACGACTTACGTCTACACCATGAAGAATAAAAGTCTTTTCACCGCCGCTTAAACTAATTTCTGCCATTATAAAATGCTTTTGAAACTTGAAGAGAAAATACTACACATAATTCTGTTTCTTGGTTGTTATTGTACGTGTGATGAGGTTAAACTTAACTATGACATAAAAAACGTATATCTATCTCTCTTTTACAACAATTTACAGTAATAATTATATTGAAATTAAAATTATACAAAATATTGAATGTTTTCTGTTATGAATATAACATTAATATAATTACAAGAAAAAGGCGCTTCAACTGACCACGTTTACAACTGCAGTCAAAAATATGATAACACACAGGATAACTATATTTTCTTTTCAAGGAATAGCCGAACTGCGGCGCTAACGTCGCACAAGGCGAAAGTATATTACTGTTTATTAATATTTAATTGTAAATGAGTAATTGTCAGCTAACGATGCTTTTTATTTTTACCATTAAAAAGTATCGAGGGAAGTTTGTGTTCGAAACAACTTCCAGTGAGGCAATTATTCCATGATCTTCAATTATATGCAAAATTAATTTCTGATAATAGTTACATTAATTATTAGCAATAATTATTGTTTAAACAATATGACTTTGCTGTAATATTAATGTTTCATGAATTCTTATTCACCCTTCCCCATCTTCTGGGTTTTCGAGGGGGGAGGATTCATTTTTCGTAGATCCTTTGATCGATATGGATCTCGTTTTCTTGTCTAATATTAATGTTTTTTTGACGTTCATAACTATTTTTTTGAATTCGTAGCTCATGGGACCTTTAATTACAATTACACTAATATCAATCTTTGCGCAATACATTCTTTATCGCGTCCTTCGCTTTCTGTACACCAAGACGAAACTGTCCGTATTCTGGTCGAATCCTCATTCCACGATAATAATATACAAGACTCATTTCAAAGTCACCGAGATGATACAAAGCCTCAGCTTTACAATACATCGTCTTGGCCATGCTGGCGTTCTTCATCTTATGTTGCAGCGCACTTTCAGCATCCTGTAACGCTTTCCGCGGCTCTCCCAATAAAAGGTGGCACTTACTTCGTGCTATTAACGCATTCTTATCGTTTGGTTCCAGATCCAGCGCCTGGTAAAGAAGAAACAGAGTTAATTATGCAATGTAATTATGCTCCTTGTAACATACACGTCGCGTACAAAGTCCTACAGGCTGTTTTCTTTAGATACTAATGAAGATATCGATTTCGTTGTTGCTACAGATAAATAATACAGTGGATGTAATGTTTTAGGACGCACAATAGGAAGCAGTTCCAATGAAATTAGAAGAATACAAAGTCTGATAGGCGTTATGAGGCACTGCAAGGGAGAAGATGGATCAAAATTGCGAACATCCTACACTATACTAAGGACATGAACCTTATTAATACAATTCATAGCGACTGTAATGTCGCCAATGCGCATCTCGCGCAATCCCAAAGCCAGCATAGCGCTTGGCTCGGTATCTTCGGGCAACTGTAAATTCCGATCCTGTTTCTGTTTCATTTTCAACGACAATTTAATGTCTCTGGTGCCCATGTTCACCGCCGCAGCCCTGTCCTTATCGGTGTACACCTCCTCCTGACGTCGAACACCATTGTCGTAACGTCGTTTCTTCTTCTTTTTCTTCTGGATGTTCATCTCCGACTCGATGGACGATTTCTCGGGCTTGTCCTTCTGCTGCTTTTTGTTACTCTTCCTCTTCTTCGGCTCGTGGCTGACGCGACTCTCCTTATCGGCGTCCTCGGAGGACTCCACCGCGAGACAGGTGCCTAGGGATGATGAATTTTTATTCAAGCTCTCCAGTTCTTCGGATTGCTTCGAATTCGAGACGCTCTCGATCGGAGATCGCACGTAGCTTTGTAATAGATCATGGTGGTGCAGGCTTGGGTTCAGAATGTCCATAATCTTTGAGTCGATGGCGTCCGACGTAGGCGTCGATTCGGTTGGAACTTCTTCGCCCATTCTTCTAGTTATATATAATGTAATTCTTCTATGTTAATATGATATTTATAATTTTAAATTTATAATTTTTTAAATTTATTTTGTCTTAGTCGAGGAGTTTTAGAAAATGACTGGTACCCTTTCGGACTTGTAACTTTGTGAAGGTGGGAGACGAAAGTACTTGCAGCGTTTCATTCACAAGACTGCCTTGGAACACAAGGCGCTTCCGTATATCTTGCGTGTGGGGCAGACGTGTGGTTATCGACACCTTCGCCGACGGCTTGTTTCCTTAGAAACAGTCAACAATGCGGGCAATTTTCGGCACACGAAAATCTTTGATCGTACGTATGCAAAGAGATTCTAAGTGCTCGGTATTCATGTCTATTTTAGGATTAGAAGAAAGGATAGTATTTTCGCTCCATCAATTTTGTATTTCTTCTCGAAATATTGAATAGGTTTAAGTTGTATAGTAGTAATTAATAATTTAATTAATAACAGCTTTAACAAATTTTTAAAAATTATTATTAATTAAAGGACAATCATGTCGTAAGCAGGATTATTCCACCTACTGTTATTAATTTCCTATTAATTTTCCAAAGAGCCGTTGGGTTTTGTTTTTTTCTCGAAAAAACATAAAAATTGACTATCCTTTTGAATTATCTCAAAATCTGAAACATGTTCTTGCGGTGAGCGGTTAATTTCACTAGTAGATACATCTATTTATAACAGTGTAACACGCAACACTGTGGTCACGATATCTTCTATGTATATACTACAGAGTATGTTTACAATGTTTGGTCAAACTTTTACTATCACGACATATCTAATTATTTAATATTCAATTTTAGTTTTAACAATTAATTTCGTTTTTAAACAATTCATGATAACGTGCTTGACACGAAAAGTGAAGAACTACCGTTTTCTACTTTTCTAAATTGCTACCAATACTACGAACATTTTCTTCAAATTACAAAACTTACTTGATCAAATAGACGCATCGCTTTGTGGTAATGCCCATTTTTTACGTGAACCGTCGCCTCGTTTACTAACAACTTCTTTTCAGAGAAACATTTCGTTTGAGATTTAGTTTTACGATTATTTACCATACTGCTTCAAAGCCTGCAATATGTTTTGTAAAAAAATTTAATTACTTACGCTCGATGTTTTAATAAATAATTTTAGCTCTGTCGAATGGTGTTCATATAGCATTTTTTTTGTTAACGTGAATCATTGAATATTTCACTCACCCATGTGCCATAATTTTCGCATAAAAATATAACTGTTCATTCGTCAATAATTACTTTTCGAACGTATAACACAATTTTATACTCGATCATTTCGAAGATTACGCGGGGGAATCACCCTTTCATCAGCTGCTATAACTTTCTTCTGCTATCAGTAGGTTTTAAGTTACGACCAGAACTTTTCTGTGTCCTGTCCCCCTACTCTAGGTAATCAGGACTAATCAATATGAAAGTAGTAACAAAGATAACGACATTCTTTCATGACATCTTCGTCCCTCCCTCCAATAGAAATACCTATAAACGATCGAGGAACATTCTTTCGAGATCGTATGAAACGCAACGAAATTAATAGTGTTATCTAGGAATTGTTAAATTAAATATAATTGGTGTAGTTAACGAATAATTATTATTAATCAGTCTATTAATCTACAACAATTATATTTAAAAATATATATTAAGCTAATTATATTTGCATTAAAAAATATTTGTGGCTGTATCAATATTTGAAACATTTCAAATTTTTTTTTTTATAACACATATGTTTGAGGTATACTTAAATTTGGTTACATAAATATGAACATTCTAAAATATTACCTATGCTAATTGAATACATATTGAATAAAATGTAACTATCTTTTCCTTACCAATATGCAGACTGTATATTTCTAAGATAAATAATTACTTTATTTACATTTAATTACATGTTATATATATATCACTGTTATAACTCTATTTGCTGCTATTTCTTAACTGAACGCAGCAAAACTGGATTACTGTGGTGGCTTCCAAGCTTCAATTTTTGGTGGGGTAGTACTATAAGGCATGTAAGCTTTATCAGTACCAGACAAGTTTACTTTATGCTCTGCCATCCATTTATATTTGGGTCGTGTTGGGTCCTTGTGAGGAACTAAATCTGTTTTGTAATGCATCCAACCAAACCATTCTACCGGAATTTGAGAACCATCATAATCCATGCCATATTGATCAGAGTATACCACCCATCTATTAGTACCTGTTAAGCAATATTATATATTAATAAAGTGGCGTTAATCATTTTTAATTCTCCAGCTTACCATAGAAATATCGATTATTTTCGTAATACTTGTTTCCGTATTTATCTACACCTACTAAGGTTCCACTTTTCAATGCGTCCATTCTGAAATATATGAAATGTAAAAAGATAGTGTAATGACAAATCAAAATGCTTTCATGTTTTTGTATTGCAAAATGAATTGTAATTAATAATTACTAATCTATTATTATCTATTGTCAGCGTAATAATGCAAAGTTAGACGATAGATGACTTTTACAAAGAATATCGTTACTAATTCAATTCGATAAGTATTTAGTACTATAATAACCTGTAGATAGTGCGTATGGAGTTGAAAATACCACCATTGTCCTTTATTATTTGAAAGAACCTGACGAGTTTATCTAACCCCAAACTCTTCGCCATGTTTGTTTCTGAACTATCACCACGGAGTAGTTTACAGTATCACAGAGGCGAAACTCTTGTCGGAATCTTTGACGTTCCTGTCAGCGGATTAAATCTAATTAAATCGATGATCTAAGTGCAATTCAGTGTAATTTTTAGCAAATATGCAAATAATCTATGTTATATTTCTATTTGTATATGCATATCCACGGACATTGTTCGTGTGCATATCACATATTGTAAATGCACCTTAGTCTGCGAAGCGCCTTAAAGTTGCTGCATTTTTCTGCGCGCGAAAATTCAAATAGGTCGATTTCAGCGCAAACATACTTCTACAATATTCACTTAAAATCGAAAGGAAATCACACTCTTTCTCTGTTTTAATAATTAATAATAGTTTAAATGTTGTATTTAACAGTTATACACTGTATGTATGCAGTAATTTTATAGCAACATATTTCGAATAATTTATTAATTTTAATCAACATAATGACACAAACAATTCTCAAATATATAAATGATAAATACAATGTCATACGATAAAGCAAAGAGAACGTATACTGTACGTTTTTATGTTTATGATGCTTGTTCATAGTTATGTTGTTTAATATGAAGTATCGAGAGGACTTGACAAGAAATTATACGATCGCAAAAAAATTTATGCATCATCGTATGCGATTATCGGTTTCGACGCGTCTACGGGTCAAGGTTTCGTAATTATACTTTCGTAATTATATCGATCGAGAGATCATTGAATCGAATTGAATGGTATATTAGCAATCTACGTTCAAAGTTGTATAAAAGGAACGTCTTTATTTCTATTTCAATTTTAGTCATTTCGTGTAAATGATTTAAAACTAATGTCTCAAAAATGAACAATCTCGCTTTGCTGAGATTCAAACGTAGTCACGAAATTAACATAATCAATTTGGTAGTAAAATGACGCGAGAAAAAAAACCTGGGAAATATAACGTGAACGGAACGTCTTTACTTCGACTAGCTCCACGTTAAAATCATTTAATTTCAATAATTTATCGTTTGTCACGACTTTAGACGAATTTGCGCATTTTGCAAACTCTTACACGTTTTGTAAATTCTCTTCTGGCACGCGGGATAAGGAGAAAGTCTTTCTAAATAAAAAAATAAAAAAGGACATCGTTAGCAAACTCTCTAGAATGGAAATACCTGTTCTAACGACGAAAAAGTGAATCTCAAGTTCAAGGGTGATTAGCGTATCGATTGAAACCCGAACGTGCTGAAAATTAATTTTTAGTTGCGTGAAAGTCTCTACCCGTGAAAGAGTCTGAAAAAGGAAACGTGCTTCCTCGCAAATGAAACAAGAGAACGTTATGATCACGAGCTGCCTGTAACTGTAATAAATTATTATGTATTTAGTACAGCAACATGGGTTGATTTTCCTTCGCTTATTTGTTCTCGCTTTGAGGTGATTAAGCAGAAGGAAAAAATTTATTTACGATAGTAGATTTTATGTAGAAAGTAAAAGGAATGGTACTTAGATTCTACATAAAATTCTATGATATTAAATATGTTTACTTTCGATTATCTTGTAAATATTATCTAATAGATATTGTCTGTACACAAGTACCATGATGTTATCGCTCGATAAACTTGTATTTTTCACTTTGTTTATGATTTTTCCTTGTTTTTTTTTTTTTTTGTTAAAGTTACGTATCCCAACTTCTTCTTCTTTCTTTCTTTTTTTTTTTTCCAACTATGTTCACTTACGAAATTTCAATCTTGGCCAAGTTCACAATATTACATTGTTTTCTAAATTGAAAGTTGTATAAAAAATTCGAAAGGAAAAAAGAAACGTACTAATCGCAGGAGATTGAAACAGAACAGAAAACTTCGATATGCAAACGTCGACGATACAAAAATCACGATCCAGAGGTAAAGAAACCAACGGACGAAAGAAATCTCAACGCGCCAGCAGCTTCGAGGAAGATAAACACGAGGATGTAAAAGACGAGGTGTCAAAGGAATCTTTAAAAAGTAAGAAAAAATCGAAGGATGGACGAAAGATGTTCGTCTCCAGCCTGGATCCTTACGATGTGCCTTTGCAATGGTGGGAAACAGATCATGTGAAATATGCGTAAGTTGGAGCTTTCATCGATTATATACTTTTTCAAAAATAAACAAAATGTTAAAGCATTTTATTAGGAATTATGGGACTATATATATACATGATATATATATATATATGATTATAACACATATATATAGTACATGATTAGTAACAGTTTCATGAGATTTATAATGCGTGATTAGAGTGGAATAATGCTTACAATTATTGCATCCTTTAGAAATCGTAGCGTAAGTTTCAACGTCGTCGTGTTTGCAGACGACTCTAGATTGGTTGACACGCGTAAAATACTGGCTATCGATTTCTACAGTCTAACGAAGTGACAATGTATTTGATGTATCTTACAGAATCACTTATCCACCAGTGAAATCGCGATTAGAGAAAGTAATGGGTACCCCGATTGTGCGACTCACCGATCGTAAGTACATGGAACAACTGTCTTTCAACATCATCAAAGATCACGAAGAGCAGCAGAAAATTCGCATCGAGGGGAGAAAGTTGTCGCCACCCTCGATTATATCTGAATTAATGAAGATTTCTTATAAAGCGCTCTCTGATATGATACGACAGAAGAATTACACTAAACTGAAACTTTATATTTAAACAGATGGTATAAGTATTGAATGCGCCCCATATAAACAGAAAAAAATTAATTATCACGTTGAAAGACTTTCGTTCGAAGTAAGCTTTATTGTTTAAACGATTTACCATACTTTTCTATACATCTACTGCTATATCGAGAAAAAAATAACACTGCGTCATGTTTTTGTAAACAGTCGAAGGTCAGGACGGAATTACTATGTTTAAACACTAAGCTTATATATTATCTAACACGAAATAACGATGCGAGCACTAATATTGTCTAAAATAAGTAACGATTCAAGGAACAGTACGTTTCTACGCTACTGGGAGAATACGAATTCATTAACAGAAGACTGATACTAATCGTTTAACGTCTAAAAGTCGTGAATCAGCGCAGGCGAGTTATAAAATATATTTATTTAAAGGACTTTTAACTTTATCGCTGTCATAATTAAACTGGTCTTCGATTAGTACTATTTATTTATGGAAAATAGTATTATAGCACTTATGCTGTTAAATTTTTCGATCTATCATAGAATGTCCCCGATATTTTGGCGTTCAAAGTGTAAAATTAGCGGTTAATTAACACGTTGATCGCCATGTCACCCATATATGGGCGACAGTGTTTTTCACTCAAGAACTAGAAAGATTAATTCTGAAAGTTAGACGTCACAGGAGATGAATCTAAAATGAAATTCATGAGTTTTGATGTGGTTACAAAACTAAATACCACGATAAATATTTCATTACCTAGACTCTGATAGTCTAAATAATATTTAATCTTAGCAGAAATTTTCAAGAATGTTCGTTTGGCAGTCAACGTGTTAATAAACAATTCTGGCAGTGGAAAGCTTCGTGCCTCGGTCTCGTTCACTCTTGCATTCTCATTTCTTTTTATGCGCATAGTCTTTGAAGGAACTTAGTTTTTGAAGAAGCGCTGACAGTATAGCGCTCTTTGACTTTTTACTAACGCGGGAATGATCATTTTCAATGATGATCTTCTGAGAATATGGAACTTCGACATATATACTGTCGTCCCCGCTGTGTTCGAACGACTCCGAAAGATCTGTAAAAATGATTAAACATTGAGTACAGTCTCCGTGCGCATAAATAAATACCATAATAAACGTACGAAATAATCGTTGGGAAATGTTTACGATAAATGGGACCGTTTTCTACACTAATACAGACTTATTAAAAAACAAAATGGAGCTGTTGATCTCACCCAATATTTCCTGGTTCCATGAAACACTGTCACCCCATGCTTCGAGTAATCTCACAGGGATTTTGATTCTAGGTTTCGGGAGATGCGCGTATTCGTGATCCGACCAACCGAGGGCACTTAGATGTTGACTAAAAATTGTTTGTTCTTTAAATAATTAACACAGAGTACATTAACCATTTAATGTTAATTAGCTAGAAGGAATGTGAAACTAAAATTCTCGCGCCCCTTTGAATTCCGTTTATACGTGTATACAGGGTGTCCCAAAAATGTTGGAGGTCCTTGAAAGGGGTGGTTCGGGGGGTGATTTGAAACAACTTTTTCCTTAGCGAAAATGTTGTCCGAGGCTTCGTTATGGAGATATCAACAAAAAACCCCGACCAATCAGAGCGCGAGTATACCGGTGGAGCGGCCGCGATAGCGTATGAGCGAAGCCGCCTAGCGCGTACCCTACGCTCCAACAGTATACGCGCGCTCTGATTGGTCAGTGTTTTCCGTTAATATCTCTTCAACGAAGCCTCGGACAACAATTTCGCTAAGGAAAAAGTTGTTTCGAATCACCCCCTGAACCACACTTTTCAAGGACCCCCAAAATTTTTTGGACACCCTGTATAAGTCGATATATCGATTCAGTTAGACGAGAGTTTGAATTGTCATAAAATTTACGCGTACTTGTGAAGCTCGCCGAGATCGTGTTTCGTAGGAGCCTTTATCGGCGATTCCACTATCGTAGGCACTGGGTAGTAATGCAAATGGTAATGCTGTATATGAGTGGGCTTTTTTTTCATTTCTTTCTTGTCCTTCAACGATTGCAAGAAGTTCATTATCACTTTCTTTGGACTGAAATACAAATTTCGGATATTTAATACATTTAATTAACTACGCAATTAATATATGCAATCGTAACGATAACTCGGAGGAATATATTAGGTTGACCCAAAAGTTTCTTTCGTTTTATTAATAAGTAATGCATACGCAAATGTTTTATGTCAAATGTTAAATTAATGAATTGTATACGATTGCATTACTGTTACAACATCAACATCTAAGAAATTAGATTGTCTATTTATATAAACACTACCGCACAAAATAATTGAGTGCAAATTACGAAAGAAACTTTTGGGACAACCTAATACATATATATGTATTGATATATACATATACGATTTATATATATTGATGTATATATATATACAATATATGATATATGATATGATATTGATAATTGATATATATATATATATATATATATATCAATTAAATCGAAGATAATTCTTGTCTTCAATCGAAAATATAAGATTCACTTACTACGAGAAAAAGAATCCCTCGGACGAGCTAACCGACAGTATTATTAAAAGTAACGTAAACTGAAAATCATAGAAAATAATGTATAATTCTGTTAAAAATTAAAATGTAATACACTTTTCGATGCATAAATGACGAAACAGTGATTTCCGAAACTACTAGGAATTTTATAATAATATAAAAATCACACACTGGATAACGAAATTGAAAGAAAAACAAATATCTCCGCTCTTCCTCTTGTTTTTATACGATTATCACTGTTCCAATATTTATAAATACTCGAAGCACATCGTTAAGTATGGATCACGATTTACTTGTAAAAACAATTCCGTCTTCATGGTGGCGTTTATAGTCGCAGCAGGCGCCAATAGTTTCCTAGGTGATTCGCGAAGGAAACTAAGTATTCCGAGGAAACAGGATCCCCTTATATCCATCCGATTACTCTCTTTTTCCTCTGGGCACCCAGGTCCCTAGTTTTGTTGCATTCGCTTCGTTCCGTATTACGTTTCTTGTCATTGCTCACGAAACTCAAGCGCGCAGAAGCATTTCAAACTAGTTTCCGTTACTTTCGACTTCGAGGACCATTTTTTCACGAATGGCAAAATAATCGACTCGACAATATTTACGCGCAAACTTTAACAAGTTACATCAGTGTAAATAAATATATCCATACTTTTCTTTTTTTTTATATACATACATATATACAGGGTGTCCAAAAAATGTTGGAGGTCCTTGAAAGAGGTGATGCAGGAGGTGATTTGAAACAACTTTTTCCTTAGCGAAAATGTTGTCCGAGGCTTCGTTATGGAGATATCAACAAAAAACCCCGACCAATCAGAGCGCGAGTATACCGGTGGAGCGGCCGCGGTATCGAAGGCTACGAGCTAAGCGGCCGCGCTTGTACGCGAACAAGTGACTCGACGTGCATCGAAGGGCATTGGACGCGGCCGCTCAGCGCGTAGCCTTCGCTACCGCGGCCGCTCCAACGGTATCCGCGCGCTCTGATTGGTCAGTGTTTTCCGTTGATATCTCCATAACGAAGCCTCGGACAACATTTTCGCTAAGGAAAAAGTTGTTTCAAATCACCTCCCGAACCACCCCTTCAATGTGTTATAACATTTCTGGGACACTTTGTATATATATTCAATAATACAACTTTCCTCTTGTACATTTTCTCCAGTCGCTGACCTTAACAGAATCATTCTGGTTTGTTTTTGATGACCGATCTTCTACACCAGCCGAAGAAAGTGAAATATAAACCTGATTTAGAGGAACAGCTTTTAATATCGATATACGCATGTTTATGTATAAAATAGTCTATTAGCGTCAATCATCTAGCGATTCTTCCCGTTAATCCTTGTTTTCGTTCGCTCTCGCTTCCGCGGCTCTTGATTCAAATAATAAACGAAATAAAGGATGAAAACAAGTAACGCTGAAGTGGAAACTGCCTTTAACTCGCATAGCCTAGATTGGCGAGAAGAGATTAAGCATGATCGTATTACGAAGTTACCGACTCCGTCGATCAACGCAGACAAATCACTGATCAATTTCCAAAAAAAAAAAACTATGTAAAATTGTAATTTTAAAACCTTTTTTTTATAAACAATGACATTCTACATATTTCTCGAAAATCTCTAGAATAGATAGAGTACAAAAAAGTCATAGGTATTTATGTAAGTTGCGAAATTAACATGAAAAAAAACAATTAATCGATAGAAATATTGAAGCAATAAGTATTCGCACAACTGTTTAATTTTTAAAACTTCGTTAAATAAAAAAGAAATTTACATTAATTTACAAGTATATAATACTTCCCTTCTTTTTGATTTTGTAATTATTATAACTCTTCTAAGCTCTTAAATTAACTAAATTATTAGTTGTACGAAGTGGGATCTTTTTCCATTCCTCTGTTAGAAGTAGTAAAGTAGTTTACTGGAAATTTGATGTTTTCTAATTCGTACGGAGCAATAAACTAATATGTTTACGTAACAAACTCTACTGTAAATGGTTTGTCATAAGAATCGTACAAATACTTATTGCTACTATAGTTTTACCCACTTTTTGCATTTTATTTCTTAATTTTAGAAATTCTATTAATTAGTAAATATTGTTTGGACTATATCTATCTTAGAGACTTCCGAGAATATTTAAAACGTCATTGATTATAAAAAAAGAAATTAGGAAGCTACAATTTCACAAAGTTTTTTGGGAAATTGATCGGTGTACGAATACATTCTACACTCACTGTATATGTCGTCCATAGATGTACGATAAAACGCGTCGAAGGCACGTAATTCTACGAAACCCAATATCTTAGAAACTGTTTCATCCATTCAAACTGGAACGGAGATCCTCTAAACTTTTCCGTGGATGGAATAGGTCCTAACTTGAAACATTTTTAATGGAGATCTTTATAAAGAAAATTCTATTTTTGAATTCATCGCGATCTCCTAATCATTTTGAATTATTTACCAGATAACTGAATTTAGAAGATAACAACGGTGAAAATAAAACGAGTACACAAAGCAAATTAGGTTCAAACGCGATAAACTCGGGTCACGAATAAGTAAATTGTCGCTGTGCGTTATTTCGTGGCACGATCATCGATACGTATTCAAATCCTACAGACGTACCTAAGTTTACTTGCCAACAAATTGCCTCCATCTCACTTACGTTGTATTATCTACAAGAAAATAACGCGTACACCTATGTAATTTAACATTGTTAATTAAAAGATTTTCGTTTACATTTACCATTGATAAGAATGCATAGAAACGCTAGGGATTAAGGGTGGGCTTGGGGAGGGGGCTATCAACTCGTTTATTTTTAATAGTAATAATTAGACTGCGGATCTTCATGGATTTATATGCAAAAAAATTAATATGCAAAAAAATATAAAAAATATTGAAAGTAAAGTTCACGTTGCAATATTTGCAGAATAAAATAAATTCCTATATAGGTTCAATTCGTTGTAGGCACGTTCGCGAAGATTTTATTTTGCATAAAGATCCGCGGTCTAGTAACAATACTCATAGAAAATTCATCTCTGAATTTTAAAAGAAAATAAACGTCTCGATTGCGCTGTAACTAAGATAGATTTACACCTGCGTCGCGCGAGGAAGCAATCCAATAAAATTGCCCGTCCGAAAGAAAGAGAAAAGAAGGACAGGACATCTTTCTGAAATTGAAATTTTTAAGACTTCATAATTTTAAGACTCTTCTCTGAAACTTTCTCACTGTCTTACCAGAGAAAGCTTCGCGATACGAAGGGTACGCTTCGCGTATATCGCCACGATGTTACTAAACCGGTTCTACTTTTGATTCTTCGTGTAATGTGTTTTGCTGGTCCCATCATATTGGAACATTGGCATCGTGTTTGTTACTTTTAATCTAGAAATTATGGGAAATCCGGTTTCTCTTTCCATAGTGCCGACTATTGGCAGCTATCCATAAAGTTGTGCGTGTAATCGAAAGTCGCATCGAGCATGATATTTAAGAATTATTCATTTGGTGATTTGAATTGAATTTAACGAAATGAAATACTACAACTTCCGTGGTGTGTTACCATGAGAGAATCTGATATTTGTATTTTCTATTAAGGGGGTATCCTGAGTTAGGAGGACTAAAAAAAGCGGTCTTTCGTGAATTTTTTTCGGATGGAAAAAAAAATAATTAATTCTCTCGAACTTTTTATCCTATTTCCATACATATTTGAGTAGTATGTAGAAATCGTTTCAACAAGAAATATTCAAATTGAGTCGACTGCGACGCACGTTTCTAGGCCACCTCACAATTTAAACCTCCAATCGGCGAGAAAGGTGCAGGTCGTAATTTTGATTTGACACAAAAAAAAACCAAAAGAAATTTTCATTTTCATACGATTTTCTACTATGCGACCTAAGAAAAACCCGCAAAAATGGCGAAATGTGAAATTACTGCAAGTTTGAGAAAAGGAACGAGTTCTTTGAGTGAAAAAAAAATCACTTTAATTTGATAAAAAAGATGGTTTAAAATTTTTTTCTGTGCGAATTTTCTTAATTCACATAGAAGAAAAATGTACGAAAATGAAAATTTCTTTTGGTTCTTTTTGTGCCAAACCAAAATTACGACCTGGCATCTTTCCCGCCGATAGGAGGTTTTAATTGTGGGGTGCTCTACAAACGTGCGTCGCAGTCGACTCAATTTGAATATTTCTTGTTGAAACGATTTCTACAGACTACTCAAACATGTATGGAAATAGGATAAAAAGTTCGATAGAATTAATTACTTTTTTTCCATCCGAAAAAAATTCACGAAAAACCGCTTTTTTTAGTCCTCCTAATTCAGGATAACCCCTTAGAAAGGGTGCCAATCGCTGACATAACTGCGTACGATAAGTAAATTTAGACGCGAAAAGTACCGTCACCTTTCCTAAAAATTTCTACGAAAACTACCGACTACCAAAGCAGTTGTAATAATGTTTAAACGTAAAAGAAAAAGGTGGTAAAGTGTGCGCGCATTTAAATTCGTTGATTTCTAAATAATTCGAGCAGATGGCGCGTCCGATCGGCACATCCGTTAGCAAAGCGCTCGCGAAATCTCACATTGTTATACATTTTTCAGCAAGTTCAATCCCGAAAAGTGGGAGAGTGTAGCGAGGATACTTTTTCGTTGAAATACTCGTAAGATTAACACGGTGCGTCGCGATAATTAATATTAATTAACGTTAAACGAAGTGCGAAGCTCTTTGTACGTGACATTCGAAGTGCGTAATATGTCGTGTGCTTCCAAATTTCCTCTCTTATTCTTAGGAAAATTGCATTCCCGTGTAAAATAGTAATAATTAGTTAACAAGTCGTTGGATGAGAAAGGGGCCGTTCTATTTTCTGTTAGCAGTGATCAGAATTAATTAGAAGTGTGTTGTTTAAATAGTAACGTTCAATTAGCGAAATATTTGACGTGCAGCACGAGTCGATATGTCGATGAATATGAGACGCACCTAATGCACCTTATCACATTCGGTGAGTAGTGCATGTGCGTGTGTAATAAACAATGCGTAGTTCGATGGATGTTACGAATTGTTATAAGATGTACGATTTTTTTGTCGTTGTAAAAATCGATGATCGTCGTAACGTTACCTTAAATGCGAGTAAATAATAATTTATTTTGATCGTACATACGAATTATATGCTGACGTGCGAGAACGTGTATGTCCATACATCTCTATACGTGCATGTGTTTACGTGTAGTTATATACGTTCTCACGCATACTTTTGTTTTTTCTACTTAACTTAACGATTTTCTGTGCATCTTTTGTTTGAAAAAATACAGCGAATTATCATCGTGTATCGTACCTATGATTTTTCTGTATATCGTATCCCTAACGTCGTAATTTACGAAACTGAAAGCATTATACCAATAAATATACCAAAATATACCAATGATAACCTCATGTGTTTAAAAATGTCGTAGTTATTTATTTGTGCAAAACACTTGTGATGTAATCATACTTTGTAGTCATCAAGCAAATGAATGCAAAGTGTCGTCAAGTATGTATCATTCGTGTAATCTTTAATTTTATCGTAATATGTATTTTGCATTGTTTTCAATGTTTTTATTAAGATTTTAATAAATTCGTCAGTGTATAATGGAGTAGAGAGAATACTATGATTGAATGTGTTTTGTTATAATAGTAAATCAAAGCAAGGGCATTATAAACAAAACAATTCTGATCTAGAATTATCACATTATTAAAAGTAAACATGGAACTACATAATATTTTTTTTATGTGGCATTTATGTAGTTGCATCAGCAGTTGATATCATTAAGTCTATACAGTTATTAATAGAACTACATAATTTCTTATATTTAAATTCTGATTTTGTTTTAGATCTTAACCAGAGTATGCACCAGCCTTTATGGAATATCATTGCTGCCTTTGTGTTCATAAATGCTAAAAGATGCCAGCAAAACAGAGGAAAATAGCTATTATGGGTTACAGATCCGTAGGTAATGAAATATGACGATTAATCTGTTTGATAAATAAATGAATTTTCACATAATGTTCATATCTATCATGTGTTTCGTTAATTTTAATAGGCAAGTCATCACTGAGCATACAGTTCGTCGAGGGACAATTTGTGGATTCATATGACCCTACTATAGAAAATAGTAAGAAGTACCTGTATCGTCTTACACGCTACTTCAAAGATTTCTAATGACACTGTTAGTAGTATTTTCTGCACATTCTGTTCATAATTCATGCTGTAAACAAGCAATAGATTCATGAAAATTTATTATTTAATGGACAGGTATTTTATAAGATGTACTATATCTAACGAATACGAAAGTTCTTGAACCAAAAATAAAAATTAAAGATAATTAAAGTAATTTTATTTTTGGTTCAAAAGAAATTTGATTTGTAATGAATATAAGACATCATATAATTTGAGTAACAAAAATCAAAAATCAAAAATTGAAAACATACTTGATATTCGTTACAAGTTTGTCCATGTTAATAATATATAATAGAATTAATTTTCTTTGTTATTCAAAATTTCCTTTACAGAAGAAGTTGACAGTACTATTTTAATTTATGATTTTATAGTAAATAAAAGCAGTTATTATGAAATAATCAAAAATCCTTCTTACTCTAACAAATGTTATTCATTGTGAAATAAATGATGTCTTTGAAGTTATAAGCAAAAAAAAAGTTTCAATAGTTGTATTTCTATAAAACTACAGTTAGAATTACTTTGTCTGATAATGTCAAATGTGTTATTTTTTGTATTAAAATTCCATAACGTCTTGAAGTTAAGAAACTGTTACGAAGCGGAAACTTCCCGTTTTCCCCGCTTGTTATTTCCATCGTTACACATTTCTATTGTTTCGCAATACTTTGTTTTTCTTTTATTTCATGTTATAGTAGAAATTAATATAAGATACGAGAGTGTACTGTAGTATTAATCTGTTCTCTTGTACCGTAATTGAATATAATGTATACTCATGTATAAAAGTAGGGAACATTTCGGAAATACCTGTAATTATATTTTTTTTAACCAACATTTTTCTATTAATTTCTTTCTTTATGTAAAAGGAACAGTTAATTGTAAAAACTATTTTAATCGTTTGGATTAATTCAAATTATCTCAAGCTTGTAGTTTTTCCAAAAGTTACTATTAACAAATTATACAAACTGTTTTCACTTCAGCATGTATGCATTGTTAGCGATATGCATGATTTTAACCACTAGTACTCGTGTTCTATATGAAGCTGAGGTATTTTTTGTTATGATGTGCATTGTAATTGAATGCAATTAATGTGGTAGTATCCTACATTTTATTGTTATGCTTTCCCTCATGTATAATTTCTTTTAATTAAAATATTAAGAGAACAGTATATTAATGCTCTTTGTGGAAATTTAGTACTTACAAATTAAGTTATATAGTTCTCAAAACAAAAATTATTTAAAAATCTTTCAAGTTTAGAGAAAGTTTCTGTAATATTTAAAAGATGAGGGTTCTACTAATTTCAATTTTGCCTATTTTCTGATGCAATTGATTTGTTTCAGCATTTACAAAAAGTACACGAGTAAATAGTCAAGATTATGAAGTTAAGTTGGTAGATACAGCGGGTCAAGATGAATATAGTATATTTCCTACACAGTATTCGATGGACATCCATGGTTATGTCCTCGTGTATAGTATAACCAGCGCAAAGAGTTTTGAAGTTGTACAAATTATTTATGACAAGCTACTGGATATTACAGGAAAAGTCCAGTATGATATCTATTGTTCAGTTTTTTTTAATTTGATTATGATATATTTAATAAATTGTGTGTATAATGTATATAGTATCTTTATGTATTTCAGTGTTCCAATCGTATTAGTAGGAAATAAAACGGATTTATATGTAGACCGAATGATAACAACAGAACAGGGCAAGCAACTAGCAGATTCATGGCACGCAGCTTTCTTAGAAACTAGTGCAAAACAAAATGAGGTACACTTACTTCGTGTTCAGTACATTTAATAATTTTTTACGATTCTAATATAAATTGCTCGTTTGTTTCAGTCTGTTGCAGATATTTTTCATACTTTATTGATCGAGATTGAAAAAGCTGATGGAAATGTACAAGAAAAATCGAACTGTATTATTTCCTAAGCTACATTAGCTGGAAATATAATTTGATACAATGCAAATGTATAAAATCGAATGGCGAATTTGGCATTATATCAATACACGTCCGAAAACAAATTAAATGTAATAATATTAAAAATATAAAATGGTGAATGTAAAACAATTATATCTCTTCTTGCTATATAAGTTGAAAATATTATAAATATTATCTATTTCAGAATATACATGATAATGACTATTTTTATCATTTGCTTTTGTAACCATTATGTAACAAAAAGAGAAAAAGATAATTGATTTCGATGATGTTTAGTTTTTTTATATGCATGTGTATAATCAATATTTTAGTAAATATTTGTCAGCAATAAGAACGAAACAATAATTAATTCCAATTTATCTTATGTAACTGCAAATTTTGATATTTGTTTTTTTTTTCAAAAATGCTGAAATAAAATATAATTATATCTGTAATAAAATTATTCATTTCAATAAACGCAAGACCACAATATAGTTTCTAATTATAAAATACAGAGACATGAATATCAAAAGTTTTGTCTTTATAGTAAAAGTTTTTTTTTTATATGTAACATGCATTAACGCATGCGCCGTGGTGGTTAGGTTAGGTATGGTTAGGTGCTGAACTTGCGCCGTGCTAAGCAAAACAATGTGAACAGTACCTGGCAGTGCCGAATTGAACCGACCCTAGCCGAATCGAGGGAAACAAACATAACCATATGAACCATACTAATAACCAAAGTCGCCAAACACGGTGAACAAAACAGACTATAAATCAAATTGCATTGGTCATAAATGTTGAATAATGAATCAGTATAAACATTATATCTACATATATGAAGAAAAATTAAGCTAAATTATTTAATGCTTTAGAATAATACACACGAGATTATGCTTTGCTATAATTTTTATTTAAAAAGTTTTGTACTAAACACACACATACATATAAGTATCACAATTCTAGATTAGCTAGCGAAACGTAAGGTGTATGTAGAATGATACGCTTAAAGTAAAGACGATCTTAATCGATTGTTTCGCTACGTTTTAAGGACCATATTTGTAATGACGGTACGCAATGATGAAGTACAACAGGAGGCACCATTTGGTTATTATTTTCAAAAAAAATTTATTTGTAACAAACACCTCTCACACTTTCTATTAATTGAAGGTAACCTCTTTGAAAGAGACAGAGATCTTTCTCTGTTTATAAATAAATACTGCGAGTATTTCTGTCTCGCGAATAAAATACTTTTCAAATGGTAATTGCTAAATGCAAAAAAAAGGAAAGCTTGAAACTGAAGCTCGTCGAGGTAAAGCAAGGTGCACAGCATTGTAACCCTTCACGAACTAACAGAGAATATCTAGAAGTGCCTTTTCTCGATTTGCAACCAATTTTGCAGGTTTGTGGAGTAATAAAAGATATGTATTTGTCCAGCTTTTCAAAAACGGAGTTTTCATACGTATTCCTTATCTTTGCCCTTTCAACAAACCTGCAGTTTTATCAAAATCGTGGAAAGGAGGAATACTTCGCGGATGTTCTGTGTGAGCAGAATAGAGCGTGTATCTTCACGTGCATAGACTTATTAGGTTGCTTTCTTTTTTAGGATTTAGCATACAATTTTGTAAATACAGTATACCACTTTTCAAACTTACTCTGGACTCTCGTCAACACAAATATTTGTTACTCTTAGTACTCAAACTTAGAGTAATCTCTCTTCAAAGAATACTGTGCAACTTTTCGAGAGGCCATTCTGGCAGCAATATGTCCAAGTAAACTCAGATGCAGAATACTTTTGCAATGGGAAAACGGACTTCTTCTTAATTTCATAATTGACTTGTGTTGTTTTTGAAATGTGAAGTTGTCATAAATCTGGAAATCTAAAAAAGAAAATAAACCGAATGGTAGAGAAAGAAGCAGAAAATTACGAATGAACATTATAGAAGTTTCTGGAACTTACCTCATAGGATCCTCAAAATAGTCTGATGGTATTTGAAATAATTGTGGATCTATATCATTGCGAAATGCAAATTCCTGAAAAGTGATTTTCGTTGTCACTGTTGGTAAAATAGGTATATCAATTTTTACGGGAAATCCAGGTGGCAATTTCATAAGGACAAACTGTCTCAATTTGCTAAAGTGCTTGAATGGCGCAATTACTTCCAAAACATTGAGTAGCATATCAACTGTCAATGGAAAATCCGGACTCATGGCGACTGTTGCTTTAAATGATTTACTGCTCTCCTTATAAACAAGATTTCTCCCTAAAAGTGGACATGCTCCTGGTGGAGCCATGATATATTCCTCCCAAGTAATGTTTGATTCTGGTGGTGGATTTAGAGAAGCTTTTCTAACATGAGGCTAAAACGTTGAAAAATCAGTATACAAAAGCTAAGACAAGATTCTTCTGCTGCTTTCCGTACCTCGCCGTTTGCAAATCCTTGGGAATTTCCTTTCGTTAAAGATTCCATAATAGCTTTATTCTTTTGCAGATCTTCTTCGCTTAAATGTTCCCGTCGTTTTCTACTTTCCAAAACCATTCCGTTGATTTGATAAAAATCGGCGTGGAAAGGTCCTACCATTTCCTTTATTAAACATTTGACATAAATCTCAAGAAATATAAAAAAAAAAAAGGTGGAAGAATTACAAGCAAAATATAACAATGGTTGCACATTACCCTTTTGTCTTCACGAAATATCCAGCCTGTCTGAGCTCTCGAAAATGTAATACCTTTTGTTGACATTTGTGCTGCCATGATATCGCTTGACATAAGAATATCAACTTCATCTTCTATTTCCAATTCCGTTTCCTATCAAAAATGAAGAAAAGGTGATAAACTTATAGCTGTAAATGATAATGAAAACAACTTAAAGCATTTGCTACCATTATTAAGGTATGGTAGCAAATGCATTAATTGTAATTATCAGATACCAATAATAAAAGGAAGAAATATTGAAGTAAATAGACCTCATATCTCACTCTTTGAAAAAGTTTAGCTCTGTTGTCAAGTACTGTTAATGACTTGCTTGGTTTTTGGTCACCATTAAAAATGAAGGATATGTCACCTCTTTCCCATCTCATATCGTTAAAATCTACCAAAGTAGTATCCATTCTAATGGATGCTCCACTTTTGTGTATCTTACAAACATCAGAAGGAAGTACACGAGAAACAAGTGGCACTAAAAAAATCAATTACAAAGAAACTTATAAATTATTGTTATGAACAAGCTATCAAAATAGTTTAAGAATACTATCAATGAAAGTTACCCCAACTTTGAAAGTCCCATTTTAATTCCATGTAGAAATCACCCATCTGTCGCAATGTTGCAACTAAATTTGGTCTTCTTTCTTCCATTTGTTCTCTAGCCTGCTGTTTTAGTTTTCGCACCAATGATGATACTGTGAAAGATATAAGATTAATGACAATGTTATTTCTTTGTTTCTAAATAACCAGCAATTATTTCTACAGACTGGTTTGTCTATCTCCATAACTGATTGCCTCCGCGAGTGGACTCCATCCAGCCAAATTCTTTACTTTTACAGGTGCGCCATGTGCAAGTAACAATTGGACTGATTCTGAAAAATTATTTCAAGATTAAAATATTTCTTCCTTTATAAATGTACATTAAATATTTTGAATATAGCCTATTACCTTTCCTTCCTAACATAACAGCCAAATGTAATGGTGTGTTTCCTAGAGAGGAGAATTAAATTTATCATTAATAAGCATATTTTTTATGTACAAGTCCAAAACTAATGTAACTATTAACCTTGTTTATCTTTTTCAGCAATATTGTAGGTTCTGATTAAAGAACTTAAAGTTTTAACATCCCCTTGAAATATGCACTTGTGTAAAGGATATTTTTCAATGTCTGAGTTCTCTGCCATGGCAATTTACCCTTGCTGGGGAAATTATAGCAGCAATGGCACTGATCCCTTTCTTTATCTGATTGAATCCCTTTTGATATAATAGTAATTATCTTGTATTCCATTTCCAAAAAGCGGCATGCTATATCGAATAGTCATGCTAAGACTCTCATTACATGTGAGCTACTTATGAGCAAAAGCTCACTGTTTAATGATCCACTTCTAACTGTTGGAAACATAAATGAACATTTCTTATATTCTAAAGAATATTATTGCAATTTAAATTTAGATAATTTGCAATTTCGCATGTTTTTCCAAGCCACAGGAAAAGGCTTTTACACTGTAATAAAATTCTTTTTACGTTATTATTGTTGTTTCTGCTAGTGTTGTTAGTTCTATCTCTATTGTTTTTAATCGTGTCGTACTGTTCGTATTCGTGCTAGGTGGTTGTTCTTTTAATTGAACTAGTTGGTCACTCCGCTATCTTTTACATTCAATATTTTTTTTACCAAGGATCAAAGCATAGGTATATATATTCGTAAATGTTTCTTAACAATTTACAATTTATTTCAATACCATTTATCTTACATTATACAAACGTATTGCACCGCACTAGTTGTATGTATAAAGTTGTATACCACACAACCACACGCTATGGCATTTGTTACGTATGTGTGTAACGTCTGTATAATATGACATGTATCTACACTGCGTTCAATTCAAAGAAGACTGCATGTAAATAATACCACGTGATTGCGAAAAAATCTCATTGGATGATATTACTGGCTAGGAGTGTTTGATGGACTAGAAACACGTTAGAACGTCTATTTGAACATTCAACGCTGATAAATATTTAAACAATATATTAAAGTAATAGGGAAAATAATCTCTTATATATCTTTTAATAATTCGAAATAATCGGTGGCGACATCGGTGGGAAAACGCCCAAGCTTGTAGTGAAAATGGTTTCTACCGTTTTTGTAAGATGGCGCCACTAATACCTTTAATCAATTATTCATTATTTTCATAATTCAAACGATTATTTGCTTTATATTTTATAACACTACAACATATTAGTTACTATATCAAATTTATGATTTTTATGAATAGTTATTTCAGCAATAATGATCAATTCTTTAGTTAATAGCGTAACTTGGGTGTTTTGCCACAGATGACGCCACTGGAATTGTTTACTTTTAATTAATTTATCACAATGACAGTTTTTACGTTTTTTTGGTTTCTAGTATAGTATACTACTACTAAAGAAATAGACCACGGTCAGGTTTACCAAATTAAATATGTACTTTAATCGAAAAATGTATCTTACAGCTATTTTTACAATCATAACTTATCCAATATTATACAAACATGCAAGGTTTTAATACAGAAAGTTAACATTGGAAAATAAAAGTTTTGTACTTAACATATAATTGTAAAAGTATCGAGTGAATTTTCGCAATGATTTGTCCTAAACAAATTAAGAAAATGAAAACAATTATGAGAAAACATTGTGATAACCAGAATTTGTTTCCTCCTGATCACTGTTTACTGCTTCTGTAGCGGTTTCTGGAGGCGGAGATACCAATGAAAGCACAGAATCATTGGGTATTGATTGTTTTCCTCTGTGAACTGGAGATTTAGATACAATTTTATCATTGGTTTGAGCGGGACATTCAAAATGAACACAGTGAAACACCTAAAAAATGAAATGTTTGAGGCTTGTAGATCTATGCAAGACACATTTAAAATTATGAAGTGCCATATGTATATTGTGTAGTATTTATAAATAGTAACCTCATTCGCGGTGTTATGTGTTCCAACAATACGTATAAAAACGACGGGACGAGGTGGTGAAAAATGTATTGTTTGCCAAGAACGACAAGCTTCTCTGGTTTTATCAGCAACTAGAACCCAATTCCAAGAATTACCAGACACTTCTATGTAGTAAGAGTATGTACGATCATCACAATCCCAAAGTAATAACCTAAAAAATAAATAAACAATGATTAGAAAACTTTCTTTGAACTGTATAAATACAATAAATGTGATAATTAAATTGGATACCGCATGGAATCTATAATATACGGTTGTCCAAGTTGTACTAAAATGGAACCAGAACCAAGTTGATGGCATGTGTATCCGCTATCCCAATCATAATTCGATGTGTCGCCATTTAATAGAGCATTTCGAGATCTAAATTTAAAAACATAATTTGTTATAAGAAAAGTATAAAATTCAATTAACCATCTACGTACCTACAAACTCCTTCTGTAACGGTGGCGCTACGATCCATGGTAGCAATATTCCGTGATGGAACGACAAAACCATTGCAAAGTTTCTCCGTGTGATTTGTATAATAAGCTTCAAAACTTACGACATGGAAAACCTTTGAAAATAAATGTTATTGAGAATAAACATTAAAGGAAAGGTCGAAAGTATCTTCGATCAAAATTTCATTATGTTACCTTGTTTACAGTATTATTCGTGCCAACAATACGAATATAAAGAACTACTCTTGGCTCAAAGTATAAGTACTGCCAACTGCGACAAAAGTATTCTGTGTGATCGATAACTCGTACCCAATCTTTTTGATCCATGGACACCTATTAAAATATATTAATTACAACAATGATTATTAGATACAAATATTGAGTGTATGGCTTTTTTTCTTTTGACAATTTACCTCTAAGTAGTAAGAATACGATCGCATATCTTTATCCCAGAGTAACATCTTTACGTGATTAATAATGCACTGAGTTCCCAATTTGATCAAAATACCATGTTCTTGAGACTCCGTGATCGTGTGTCTGGTATACCTGATAAAGAAAATAATTTTATTTAAACGAATAACTTGATAAATAAATTCATTAATTTACCCTCTTTCCATATCGTAATTGTTTGTATCTCCATCTAAAAGGTGACTGCGCATTTCACCTTGTAGAACTTGAGCACCATGTATAGGATGAGCAACATTTTCATCGATAAATAGTCGACCGCGGTAATTAAGATCCGAATCCCGTATTTGCGTCTTTGCAGCTATTGCATCTAAGATTGCTTCAGGAGTAACTAACCCAGACACTCGAACAATATTCAAAAGATCCGTAATAGGAACTAAGCTTAATCGTACCTTATCTACAGAATTAATTATATTAATTTTATTATATTACCATGATATATTTTCTCAAAAAGTAATCTTAATATACTTAATTAAGTGATTACTTTATTTCTTTTTCATGTTATTCTTTTCCATTTACCTACCTAAAACACTTTTGCTATCAGCATCAGGATTTGCATTTACCCATGCTCGTACAGCCAGAAAGATATTAACCTCTGGTGCATAGAAGGAATCTCTCAATATTAGCTCATTCAAAGCTCCAGTGCTTAATTGTAAAAAGTTCTCATGTTGTATCACTTCGCACGCATGTTTGTCCATGTACTCATGACAAACCTAGAATAGATTAATTCCTCTATGTTCAAACATTCTTTTAGATGTCATTTTGACATCATGCTCATACCCTGGTAAGAAATTCTAGTTGATAAAGTAAAGCTGCATCAAATATGAGGCAGATATTTTTTATATTCAATATTTCTCTGAGATAATCTGATATAGAGGTTTCCAATTCTGAAAACCCATAAAGATGTGCTAATCCAAGAATATCTAAAACCACCTAAAAATAAAAGTAGTCTATTAAACAATGCAACATTAAAATTATAAGAAATATTTTGTGTTTGATTGAAACATACCTCTTCACGTCTGTCTGTTAGAGACATACGTCCTGTATATATGTATTCAAGTAAAACTTTAAAAGCAGTTGAATTAGCATCCTTTAATTCAATTTCACATTGTGTAGATTCCTTCAATCCTCCGAAGAGAAGAGCTCTAAAGTATTGACTACGAGCTGCTAATATGATCTTGTGACCATTGAATCTTTGACCACCGACAATCAAAGTTATATCTGAATAATCATCTGAGAGATAGAGAGCTCCAATATTTTCGGAAAGGTAACCAATATGTTCTATATCACCGGAAGGTGGATTTAACCGATGATGAGAACTCATTTTTGTTATGTTGTGATTGTATTGTTCTCTCACAATGTTTTTTCAATTGTCTTTTTTCTATAATTACTCTTCTTTCGACGAATACGACACTTTGTCGACGTACAATGACATTTTTTTTTATGGATTTTATTACATTCGAGACTGTTTGTTCTTCAATGTTTATTTATTCACAAATGAGAAAACATCGATTCCATAAATCCCTATCAATTATTGGATAGTAAATAAAAAAAGGTTTCAATGTTTAAACTTCACTCTGAACTATCATTCACATTTTTATATCGTTCTACGATTTCACTTACACATTCCACACTTGGCTTTCACTATTCTTTAATAAGATCAACTTATTAAGAGTTAAATAAATCCCAAGAGGATTAACGTAAATATAAAAATAAGGATGTTCCCACCTTAGAGATGTATTATTTCAAGTTCGATAAATTTCGCATCAACTTTTATCGTCAACATATAATCATCATAATATAAATATCATGGATTTACGAAACTGAAGAAGGGCAAACGAATTGCCAACCAAGAGGAACGTAAGCCAAAGAACAAGAGAAATTTTATTATCAAAATATAACAAGTACAAAGCATAAGATATTATTTAAACGAAGAAAGAAATACATTACTTGATTCGAGTAAACAATAAAATATACGCTTTTAGTGACTTTAGGTTTCTTGGTGATTGACGTTATACTTCTCTTTTGCATTTTCAATGCTGAAAACTAGAGGTCCTTTAGTGTAAACGAACATAAATGAATGCTTGATGATGCTTGAAAATTACGGAAAGGATCAATGAAAAGCGCCCGGACGAGTGTTTGTAGATAATCGATTAATTTCGTATCTCTATTGGTTTCAAACACGAATGCTGAGGAAGAGAATAAATATAGTTTTGAAAATACTTTCTTGAAAAAAAAAAAAAAGTCACAATGACGAAAGGTATGACTTCATTTCATTAATAATTGTAACATGAATACTAACCATATAGGTTAAGTTCAATTTTGTTGTTTATTGTACATTTTCTTTGAAAGTATGCAATATTTATATGTTAAATCAAACGTATTTGTCTATAGTTTTAACAATTTAAAGAACAGTCGTGCTTTCAGTAATATAAATGAACCACTTATATTTTATGTAACTTTTTACATATACATAGATTAACGAGCATGATATTTTTGATAAATTATGGATGATTTATTGGTAATTTATATACTGTTTCAGATGAAACTTTGGAAAAGAAATCAGTAGAAAATAATGATACTGATAAGAAGGCTGCATCTGAAACGGGTCCTGATCCATCAGCACCAATAACAAGAAGAGGAGTATTAACATCTTTTTTGACTGGCAAACCAATGGAAATACCTGAACAAGATATTGTAATGATTTGATCATTTCTTTTATGATTGTGATTATATTTATTATAATATAAATGATAATGTTAGTTACATGATTTTCTTTTTTAACAGTTAGGTAAATGCAGATTTGTATCAGAGTTTGAAAAATTAAACCGTATAGGAGAAGGCACATATGGAATTGTCTATAGAGCAAGAGATACTAAAAATGACAAAGTTGTAGCATTGAAAAAAGTTCGGATGGAACATGAGAAGGATGGTCTTCCAGTCAGTGGACTCAGAGAAATATCTGTTTTATTATCTTGTCGTCATGAGAATATTGTACATTTAAGGGAAGTGGTAGTAGGAAGAAGCCTAGAAAGCATATTTCTTGCTATGGAATATTGTGAACAAGATTTAGCAAGTTTATTGGACAATATGCAAGCTCCATTTTCAGAAAGCCAAGTCAAATGCATTGTTTTACAAGTGTTAAAGGGTTTACGCTACTTGCATCATAATTTTATTGTACACAGAGATTTAAAAGTTTCGAATCTTCTTATGACAGACAAAGGATGTGTGAAAATTGCTGATTTTGGATTAGCTAGATGGTTTGGTTTGCCTTTAAAACCAATGACACCTAGGGTAGTAACATTGTGGTATAGAGCACCAGAATTATTGTTACAAGCAAAGACTCAAACAACTTCTGTTGATATGTGGGCTGCTGGCTGCATTTTAGGTATGGTATTTTTTATTTTGATGTACTATTAAAATACTAAATGTAATATATTGGTTTAGGAGAGTTACTCGGACATCGTCCTTTATTACCTGGACGATCAGAAATTGCACAGCTAGAATTAATTGTTGACTTATTGGGTACACCAAGTGAAGCAATTTGGCCCGAATTTAATACCCTTCCCGCATTACAAAACTTCACATTGAAACAACAACCATACAACAATTTGAAACAAAGGTTTCCATGGTTAAGTGCTGCAGGTTTAAGATTATTAAATTTCTTATTCATGTATGATCCAAAAAAGAGAGCTACAGCTGAAGAATGTTTACAAAGCAGTTATTTTAAAGAGGCTCCATTGCGTGAGTGATATAAGATTATATTTATTCCGTGATCCTTTGATTTATTGACAACAGATCATTAAAATTATTATTGATCTTATATTTGCAGCATGCGATCCTAAGCTTATGCCCACATTTCCACAACATAGAAATATGAAAAAGGCTGCTCCACCAAAAGAGACTAGAGAACCAGAGGCAAGTGTCACGGATCAGACAAATAACTTACCCGCAATTTCGGATCTTGTAAGTATTCATATATTTTTCGTTTACATTTATAAAAATATGAATATATTGAAACTGAACTAAATTTTGTTGTTTCTAGCTTGGGTCACTTGTTAAGAAGAGACGAGTTGAATGAATTCGAACTACAATCACATTCATAACTTCGAACGCAATCCAAACACTTTCGATCCTCAGTTATAAAAAGATTCAATGTAATTTATCCCTCTCATTTAGGATGTACGATATTATTCATAAATACTTTTGAATAAATGAACTTTATTACCAAACATTTAAAACAATGTTACAAAATCAGTTTGTTTCTTGTTTAGGAATATATATATTCGTGAAAGAACTTAACAGTATAAGTGCGCGAAGTAATACAAGAGTATGATCAAATATGTTGATTTAAATATGTGAAACCTTTCATGAATCTCATGTTTCGTCGATAATGTGTACATTTTATTGTAGTTCGCTAAAGTGGTGAACAAATTATTTCTTTTGATTTGTTTTCATTAGATAAATGATGTCGTAATCCTATGTTTCAAGGATTAACTCTTCGTGGTAGTTAGAGCGGCTTCAAAACGTTTTTTGTAATTGCCATTTGGATCATATTTTGCGGTAAGTCGTTCCCAATCATTCGGTCTCTTATTTCTGAGGTGATTTATTACCTTCTCTGCAGTGACTTTTTGTTTATCATTGCACTTACTACAATCTGTGGATAAAGCATCAGGTAATGTTTCTGAAATCAGATATAATTGCATGATTAGAAAGTTTCGATAGTTGAATTGCAAGCAACGAGTGTTTAAAATTAACGAGGTAGCTGAAATATATCGAGAATCGCGTTAATTAAGAACCTGTATTTCGTTGTTATTTCAATTTTTATAGATAAAAAGAAAGAAATACATGAAAAGAATTTATATAAGAATACGTAAAGAAATAGAAATTTCTGTATAATAATAATTATTATTATTTCGTTGTACGATGTAATAATACTTTAAGCACGTGTAATAACAACTTGGACGTTGTTTAAGGGAGTTCGATGCACTCCAAACGAGAAAGTTCAAAGCAACTTATGTAATACAGAGCGGGAGAGTGAGGTGAACTCTGTCGTAATCATCGCAACGGATGCACGTTGAAATTTCCAAACGAAACCAGCGTCACTTCTAGTCACGAACTCGAATAAATTTGGGTTTGCTAGACCCGACAAGCGAATCGAGGTCCATACACGATCTTTCGTTATTAAAGAGCATACATCTTGTAGAGAAATTGGAACATGTCGAAATAAGGAAAATGTATTATGCGAATAGGGGTCCTGTCTGACCTTGTCTTCAACTACGAGCGGTATTCGCTAAACTGACGTAATTGGTTTCCCTTTTTCTTTTAAATATATTTTTTAAGATATTTTTAAAAATATATATATTTTTTTTAATTTCAGATTACTCTGTTCAATTGATTATTATTCAGATTGTCTGACATTATACTTACTTTTTAATTCGCGACCTTCGTTGGTGCACGGGCCTTCGTCCAGCAGACACTTGATGTAATTGGTGAGGACGCGACCGTTCTGGAGTATCCTGTCTATGTCGATGTCGTCGTATTTAGTAGGATATGTGTCGGCCGTTACAGAAGCGATTACGACCAACGCGAACAGCAAAAGAGAAGCTTTCATGTTGCTATTATGATTATAGAATGTCGTTTAATCAAGAAAATTACAGAGGACACTTTTGTTAGTTTCAGACGTACGAATTATTCCATGTAATAATTTTGTAGTACGGAGCAACGAGTTCAAGAAGAGTATCCTCTTGGACAGCTACCCTTCGGCCGCGGAAAGTAAAATGGTCTTCGCGAACGAGCTACCAAATTATATAGCAGGACGCGGAGGACTTTGGAGGGAGTGGATAAACGCGTCAATCGAGTATTTCTCACGCACCGTCGTGAATCATTGACAGTAGCTGCGGATTTAGCTAGAAATTAATAAACAAACAGCACGTACATAATCACGTACATTTGTAAAGTTCTGTTCGATCTAACAAGTTTTTATATCATTATTAACATAACATAACAAACGATACAACCGATTCGTATGACTGGTTGTATCGAAGCCACCGAACGAAACTTTCTTCTTCGCTGTCGTTATATATACATCAGCGTTTTCCGTGAAAATGTCGTTCGATAAACAATTTCTAATATAAGTGGGGAACTATTTTACTAGAAAGTATCCTATAAGGAAACAATATTCGCTGTTGTCCTACGGTTCTCTTGATTAGTTTAAAAGTCACTGTCATCTCTTCGCTTTAATGCTAAGAATGCTACTTTAGATTATCAATAAACTCGTTCGTAGACTTATCTTCGATACCTGAAAACATTGACATTTATGTAATTATTCGATCAATTGTGAGCGATTCGTCATCTAATCGCAAGAAAAACATAATAAAGTCAAGATATTCTTACAATGAACATTTCGCGGAGTGTCTGACGTCAATTCCAACGAACTCGATTTCATTTATTTGAAAATCGCCCATTTGAACATTAATATTTGTCGAATTAAAATAAATCTTGAATCTATAATTAAAGAGTAAAGGTTTAGTACATTACGTTTTGTTGTCCCATAAGGCCGAGAAAATCAAAACACGCTAAATAGTTTACTTTGGTTCTCGCAAAAATTTTGCTGACGCGTGCTCGATTGTATCCGTGACCTGAAAATCTTCGTGTTCGTTTTGTTTGTTTAAGCAGAAATTAATACTCGACAAACTTCTGTTCATTTTCCTTGTGTGCACGTAGAATTATGCGTGCGCTTGAAACGCATCTAATATGAAAGCAAAATGTTTCCGTGAAAATCGAAGCACAACCTTGCATTTTGCTGACCACCAATAATGGTCTTGCATGTTAAGTACAAGTACGATAGAAACAGTATAACACGAATAACGTGCTCTCGAGAATAATGAAGAGATCATTCTTCATTATTCTGTCGTGTTCAGACAAAGATCATCGCGAATTTACTTTGCATATCTGTTCAAGGATTATCATTAGTGACAATGCGACGTTAAAGCTGTATTTGGCGGTCTTACAATCTACATCAGTCGGTAATATGTTCAGGAAGAAATTATATAAGTAATGTTTCCGGTTGCGTATTGTTTGGTCGGAAGTTTGATCAATATTCGAATACTTGGTATAAAGTTAAACGAATTCTTATGTGCCCATACGCAGTATTGTTCTTTAATATAACATTTATATAAGAACAATGTGATGTATAACAGGAAAGTCAGTTTTACTATTAAGCAACAATTATTCTTCCTTATTAACGCGCGTCATGAATTCTCTGGTTGCTTCGTTGAATTTCCTAATAATTAATAATAAAAAAGCTTATAGAGTACGTTACTTATACTATGTACATTCGTTTCGACATTAGAATCATCATACTAATTAGCATGCGCACCGTATCTCGGTTTCAACCCACTTCATCATTCTACCATATTGCGAAAAGCCGACTGGTAGGATCAAAACTTTCTATCTTATCCCTTAACCTTCGTACTATGTAAATAGATTCTTAATTAGAGTCGAAGAAAATTTCATACATACACTTCTACATACTACATATCGACTTCTATCGAGTCGTTACTATGTCATTTAATAATAATTATGCTTAATCTATTACAGATTAATGAATAAATAAGGAATTTTTTAGAAGGACACCTGAAGCGCTCAAAGAAGTATTCGTACATCATTTAAAATGTAACAATTTAAATAAATTAGAGATTACTACAATTTGTAATCATTTTATTTAGCGTTTGATTCATATGAGTTAATCCGTTAAGGCTCTAAACTATTTATTCAAGTACATCAGCTTGAAGTGATCAGCTACGTCGATTATTGTTATTTCGTCGTACTTTTCAATTATTACGTCTAAGCATGCTGCATCGCACCGTAGGATCCGACAATTGAATGCCATTCACGGGGATAATTTCGTTTCATGAATCCGATCAACGTTCGCGCGTGTTCCATCTGTCGGTATGTACAGCGTCGGCAATTGTTATTCAACGCTTCCGGTAACAGTCCTGCAAAAATTCAAAGGATTAACATTTTTATAAGCGTTTTCACATTTACATATGTTTCATCTAATCAGCGCAGGAGAAAGAAAATATTGATTCGTGTAAAGGACTTCTCACTCGACGGGAGATAACATAAAATGATGAAATATAAAAAAATATTTCTTATTATTCCTATCATGTCCGCTATGTATTGCATACAAAATTTACGTTTATTACAAACTTTTACGTAAAAATATACATTTCTTTAAAAATAATCATTCATTCTGTTTGCTATGTGTTGCATACAATGTTTACACACTTCGTTACGTGTTGCATACACAATCGTCAGATGTTTCGTTCTTCGAAATACCCGTCCACTTTGTTTACTTATCTTTCGTCATTGTACGCAATCGGTTACCTAAAATTCAAGTCTGAAACATCCATTTTCTTCTAATGGAAGTTAAGAAACTACAATTTCACAGAAAAGTTATTTGGGAAATTGATCGGTGTACGAATACTTTCTACACCCACTGTATACATTTTTAAGACAGTTAAAAATAATGAACAAAATGTTAAAATAAAAGGTATTTCAAGCTGTGCTGAAGACAGCCATGCGTTATACAGGGTGTCCCAAAAATGTTGGAGGTCATTGAACGAGGTGGTTCGGGAGCTGATTTGAAACAACTTTTTCCTTAGCAAAAATTATGTCCGAGGCTTCGTTGAGGAGATATTAACAGAAAACCCCGACCAATCAGAGCGCGCGTATACCGTTGGAGCGCCTGCAGTAGGCGTGGCTATGCGCTAGGCGGCCGCGCTCATACGTTACCGCGAGCGCTCCACCGGCATGCTCACGCTCTGATTGGTCAGTGTTTTCCGTTGATATCTCCTCAACAAAGCCTCGGACAATATTTTCGCTAAGGAAAAAGTTGTTTCAAATCACCTCCCGAACCACCCCTTTCAAGGTGTTACAACATTTTTGGGACACCCTGTAGATTCTGTCTGTGTCAATCAGGGTCATTTTGCGATACGGAAGATGTTAATTGAAGGAGTCATACACCTAACGATTAGTTAGGTGTCAATTTTTGAATCATTTTCTAGAATGATTAGAGTGTACTTCATACTGAGATTTTTGGATCCATGGGTGGAAAATTAGTACACATTATGTTAAATATCAATGAAATAATACCACATTTATATCGATACAAACTATCCATTATTTATGATTTTTTAAATTCCAATTTGTAAAAAAGTCGCTATGGAATATATATAGT